TTTACGTTTTGATTAATAAATAAATAACCTAGTTCAGAAAGCTATGTATGAAATGGCATTCATTCAAATAGAATCGTATTTTCTCTAGGGAAATGAGACCGATACTTTCACCGTATCCTGTATTCCCAACTCACACAGGAACTACCAGTAACAGGTATGCAACCCTGGGTTCTTTTGACTATGCGGGCAATTATCACTCAAGGCGGCTATTTCAAACAGGCGAAAAGGAAGACGCGATTTCTTTCCAGATACGATCCAAACGCTTTGTTCGAATCGGCCGACGCATGAGAGTTCCTTGAACAAGGAGTTCGCAATTATCATCCACATTTGGAAAAAAATCCGTCTTTATTTTGCAAATTTAATGCATGTAATTCATGTACAACCGGAAAAGAAATGAAGCTGTGATTTTTTGTCAACTTTAAATATATACATGTTGATGCAAGCAAGTTCATGAGAAGTTGTTCATTGTCGCATAAAGAACACCGTTTAATTTCGGGGTTTCTTCACACAATTTCTTCTCATTCGGATTAATGTAGTTTGTGGCGATTCCTGCATGATTACCTGTAATGATTGTAACAAAAGTAATAGCAGTTATGCACACTGAACTCGGAATACAAACCACGCAATACGAATCACGGAATACGAATCAAGGATTAGCAATCACGGACTGGATCACGTAAGCACTGGAACGCACTGGCACTAGCACGCAATATCCCACGTAACTGAGACGAGAGGAAAAGGCCACAGAAATGGTTGTTCGTTTATTCGAAGATATAAAGGGGATTAAATAATGTGTACAAATAGGTTCATTGGCTATCCGGGCTTCTGCCAATCGCGTTCCAGTATTCCCGGCATCGTTCTGCTTCTGTCTGTGCCACACAGTCTCTGATTAGCTGGTGCGATCCGCCTATGATTTTTAGTCAGAAGCAGTGATACGTACACGCGTTGCTGATGCACTTGTAAAAAAGCTGTAATGCGTCGCTCCAGGGTACGCGTCATCTCGTAAGCCCGGATCACCACATTTTAGCCCTCGAAAGAGTTATTCACGGTCACAGCTAACCGGCTTCAAGCGTGATATAGTTCATACTGTGTCATTTATGTTCCTATTCGAACAGATTAGTGCATGCATGGTAGTTGCAACTTCTCATCCAATAGGACTGTGTTCTCAGCGCGAACACCAGGTCACCACTGTGCGTAAAGATGACGGATCTAATGTAACGTGCGCCCGCGGTTCACGCAATCACCGCAACACGTGTGTAGTCGGCATCCAAGTCCGGGCCCAAACAAAATATTGACGAATTGGAATCAACAGTTCTAAATGTTTCCGTATAGAGAGAGAGGATATCGTAAAATGAAAACAGAAGATGTAGTAATCACCTGCATCAACTCCTCTTGGCAAAACAGGTCTACGGTTCCTCTGCATTAGTCCCCAGATGGCATCAACTGTTTATTTCTCTATTCAATGTTCTCCTATGTTGTAGAGATATAAAAGCACCATACCAACCAATTTGTGCATAGCTCCCTCATGTACTACCCAGTCTCATATTTCATATATTTATACCGCCTTTCGTTTCCCTGTTACGCGAAAGCCTCCACATTGCTGTTAGTGACTTTAATCACGCACCATCCACCTATCGCATACCTTCTTTTGGCCTAAATGATGTTCTTCTTTTCCTCACCAGAGGTGAACATTTTACTTCAAAAATTACATCATCTGTGATCACCCTTTGATACTCATAAGACCACAGTCTTCTCCCGTCCCATCACACTGGTCTGTGATTTCCGAGCCTGGGGACCTTCGGTTTATCCAAGCAGTTATTAGCCTGGTTTAATTACTTCTCTGAGAAAACTCATTGCACCAGGCTACGTACAAAGAAATCCAAACAATTGGTGAATAACTCCGGGATGCACCAAAGTGCAGAGATCTTTTTGCGTACTTATTTTCTACCTACATTGGCGATTTGGCTACACTTTTCCCCACCTTCCCTCTTCAAATAAGCTGACAAGAGGGTTTTATGTTCTGACAACTTGGACAACGTTCAACAATCGGCCGCTACTTTTGTTCCCTCTCTCTCTTTTAATCCCTCTAAATGTTTCAAACGTCTTTTTACATTGTCATGTTCCTCTTTCTCAATTGATCCTGTATCAATTAACTAACTCTGAACTGATATCCCAGGTTCTTTTATCAATACTAATTTTCACTGGACCTTTTACATCCAACATATCGTCACTAAAGTTTGAAAACTCTTCTTCCATGTCGGTAAACTTTGTCAGTTTCGATTTCAACAGTCAATTATATCCAAATTCGCGTACAAGTGTGTTTATCCCGTTTTACTTTATTACTTACCCGTTGTCTTTTCTAATCTCTTAAAGGAAAACTTTGAGCTTCCTCGAGGTGGACTGATCGACAATAGCCATATCGCTTCGATCCCACCAGACGAGTTGATGACCGATCTGTTTGATGGTCATTTAAATGCAAATGAAAAGTTGACATACAAGATTCCTACGGATCCCACTGATCCACTGCAAACAGGTCTAATTTTCTGTCTTTCCAATCCACCGACCGTGCCTTTTTTCCATACAGCTTTGGCCAACGCTCGGAAATCTAGCCATGTTCCACAATCCCAATACGGTTGTGTTCCCTCGCGCACAATAATAATACCTCGTTACAGTGCAAAAACGAGTGGATCAAGTAGGCATGAAGATCCTCCACAGTTAAACTAATCCCCCTGGCTTAGAAAGAGCAAGGTAGCCAAGGTCATCGCTATCATAAAATGCGATATCTTATCGAGTGGCTTTTGCCATTGAGTAGGGTTAGCGATATTGGAGCTCTCAAACTAGACAAATATAACAGGAAAGCGTTCATTTCACATCTATTGATTTGGTGGTCTCATAAGTACTCTTGTCCTGATACAGCCATTCTGA